TTTTTCAAGGGGTTGGGTTTGGGGGATTGGTGTAGTGCTTCACTCTATTAGGTATGTCTAGATTTTGATTAAAGAACAGAGCATCCCATATTTAAAATCACCTTGATTGAAAATGTGATCATAACAACAGTGATTAGGTGCAAAAGATGTTTTGGTCATCTGGTTTCTGAAATGTCTGAAAAGTTCCTAATACTTCTTTCAAGTAGAGTATCCTCGTTTGATAAATATTTTCAATTTGTTGGATACATATACATTTAATCGCAGTACTGCTGAAGTTTCTCCTATATTCTTCTTAATATTTTTGAGGAGTGAACCTAACGGACAGGTATACAATTTGAAAGAATTACAATGCTTATTAGGTAATACTGAAATTCTATATGTCTATTTCACCGACCTGCTATTTTGGATATTAATTATCTCAGTTAATTAGACATTTAATTACTGTTATAACAGGAAGAGATTTCTGCGTCCCGCTTGTCATATTGTTAAGTTTTAAAACATCCAAATATGAAACAGATGTGATAGATTCTGTAGTGGTTTTAAATAGATGTATGAATGGAAATAAATATTGTTTATTATTAAGTCGGTCGCTTTAATTAAGGCCACTTTGTCGAAAATATCATTTACTGTTACTGCTTTTGATCTAAGTTCCAGACGGAACAAAAATTATACAGGATTCATAGAGCATACACCTCTGCCAGCCTTGGAAACTTATGAATGTTAGCTTGAATATTTTTTTTTCTTTTGCTGCAAAAATATGGATTTCCATGATTAAAAGAATTACGGAATTAAAAATAAGTAATGATCCTTAAGTAATGTTTCAAAAAAATAATCAAATATCACTGACACAAAACACACATTTTAGCTTAAAAATAATAAGAATTAAGAAATGTTGATATTTTATGATAGAGAAGGCAGAAAGTTGCAGGCAGACAATATTAAGGCAGATCCATATCCGTATCGTTTTTTTGTTTTTTTGTTTTTTATTAAGCTGATTATATCTCGTCCTTTGGTGCATCTTTATAATTTCAAATTAGTAACAGCGAAGTATTCGTTGTAAAGCTCATTATAGCAATTGCATTTTCGTGGAACTTGGTTTTAATTCTACATCTGGTAATCCAACTTATACTCATAGTTTCATTTCTAAGGAAACGATTTTTAATCGTACGTCAGTTTTATATATTCTCCATATTCCAAACAACAAAGTTGAACATGATTTTTCGTATAAATTCTGAAAAATTAAAAAATACAAAGCGAGTTGTAGTAAATGTTCTACCCATACTTGGGTTCTAAATCTAAAAACATCAAAGAACCTTAAGAAAATTTTAAATCAGAAATCAAAAATTGCATGTAAATATAATCATATCTTTCAGGTAACAGTAATTTTTGTGTACAAATGACATTTTCCAATTTACTTAGATCCTTAATTGAGGATATGTTTAAACTATTATAGTGGTTTACATTTTTACATTTTTATTTTGGTCCATTTTAGATATGCGTAAAAAAAGAAAGACACGTCATAAAGTTCATACCAAAGGGCACGATGTTCGTTACAATATATTTTAACAAAGTTTCACGATATTTGTTACAATATATGTTAACAATGTTTCATTTACAAAATATCAATATCATTTAATATAATTTAATTACATGATTTCTTACCACAAAATCATTCATCCGTGATAAACTGTTTTATCATGCCCGTTTTTTACGAATTTATAAGTTAACAGAAAAGGAGATATTTTTTATCATAAAAGGAGATTTCTTTTTTCATAAAAGGAAATATCTTAACTCGATAAAAGGAGATATCTCATCTTGATATCAATGATTGCAAAAAAAACGAGTACACACTATGCTTAAAAGAAAGAAAAAAATGATGTCGCTGTATTTTCGCATCAACATTCACAAGTTTTTTGTTTGTTTGTTTGCTTGTTTGTTTGTTTGTTTGTTGTTGGGTTTTTTTCTTGCTTGTTTGTTTGTTTGTTGTTGGGTTTTTTCTTTTTTTTCTTTCTTTTTTTTTTCTTTTTTTTTCTTTTTGTTTATTTTTGTTTATTTTGTTTGTTTTGTTTTTTTTTTTATCTTTTTTTTTTTTAATTTTTTTTTTTTCATTTCGTCTTCTTGAAAACAGTGATAATTGTATGATATGAAGAACAATTTTATCAAGAAGTACAACACATTCACACTTGTTATTCTAGCAATTTTAATTTTTTTTATTTTGATTGGTGTGGTTTAGATATACATATGAAACCTCTTAGTTAGAGCTGGTTTTACATATCTGCAGGAAGGTATCGTACTCTCTATCTTCATAGAGACAAAAATTGTATTTTTTCATAACAACGTATATGTAGGCTATACTGCTTATTACTTAATTGTTGCATACTTTAGTAAATTTAATAAAACTGACTCTCTTAAAGTATAGCTCTACATTTTTTACTATTTACCCTCTTAATTTAAAATCATATCTCTTCATATTTTATTTCTTGTGTAGAAGGGGACATTAATTTTACTTCCTTTCTTTATTTTACTGGCTTACTTAAACATTAGCAAACTTCATATAATTAAATTGTAATGTGATTCCTTCTGAAATTTGCCAATCATACCTTTTATTTTTCCTTGGCAAATACTTAGAACAAAACAAACTATAACCAAAAAAATAAAAAATAAAAATAAAATAAACCATCCACGGTGAGATTCGAACCCAAGACCTCTATATTAAGAGTCTAGCTCGCACTCCGCTGTCCTACGGGGACTTAAGCTTACTTAAAATTTAAATTATTGATTGAAACTAAATACAACATATGCATGTAAATGTTTAAACAGTTGGTTGTTTTGGTGTACTTTGATAAGTGATATATGTCTCTTCTGTTAGAAGTGTGTATAAACCCTTGATGTGAAGTTCATTTTAAAGAGATTTATCATGACATAACGTCAGTATGATAAAGTGCACATTTTGTACAATCTCCAATTTTTTAATTGTTGGGGAAGAAATCTACTGTTTAATCAATACTTGACTGATTTTCTTTTCAGCGAAGTAATAGTCCGGAACATAAATCTTTATATTTGTATTCAATGTCAGGTCTCTAACATGTCACGTCACGACAACATAAATCACATATCAGTACTTTAAATAAAAATAGTTAATAAACAATTTTAATTAATTCATTGGTCAAAGTATCTATGAGGTGACACTTTATGATTTACGGATAACTTTCCTTAATTATATGTTATTCTATTGGTTATTTGTGCTGGGTAATAACTATAAAAGGCGACAGTCTCATTTGAAAAGTTGTCCGCACATCTGGTTCTAACTAGTAAGTACCAATATAATATTAATGAACTGTTTTCTAATATTTTTTTAATTCTTTCAGTTACAAGATATAACATCTAGTTTACAACAAAATTATGTATACGATTTAGTCATTCAAAGATGATTTTGAATATGTTTAATACTATTTATTGCTAAGATGAGAATAACATTAAAAGTCGTTTCAAATATGCCAAATCCCTGAAAAGATACATATTAGTCTTTGAGTTAACCGTAAAGATAATAAAACCATTATTGTTATTAATAATATCTTTTTTCAAGTATTCAATTTAACACAGGACCAAAATAATTTTTTGCAGTGCTGATGCAATATTCATGATCGGAGATTTAAGTAAATACATTTTAATTAAGTTTGTTAATTTTTTTTTTTAATAACAAAATCAATTAATATAGCTATCATTTAGCAAAATCGATTATTATTTTACAGATGAAAATGATTATTAGCCTGATATAAGAAAATCATTATGTTGAGAAATAATCATTAGGAATCAGAAACAAAAGCATTGATAACATTACTTTGGCTTTCTGTCTTCAATGCATGAGTTAAAACACATATCTAATGATGTTAACTTAAGCTACATTTAAATTCCTAATCTGTCGAAAATTTGAGAAATTTTTATCAAGATTTATCTTGAAAAAATATATTATCTTTGTAAGAACTAAGACAGGGGATTGGTTGGTAAAAGAAGAAAAGAAAGTTAAAATTCTACAAACAGTAGTAAGCATAATAATAAAAAAAAAATAATATGTTGTATGTTTTATTTCCTACTCACCTGTTTTTCAGGTATCCAAGTAGTTGCCGCCATGATCAAGGCCCTTGTTTTATCATTGTGCATTGCTTTGGCAATAGCCGACTACGACAAGAAGGTTCATAATCCGTGAGTAAAAAATTAAATACGTATTTTTAAATTGCTGAGTATGATTAAGTACTTATAATCCCTTATTCATGAAATGTATGGAGATAAGGAACAGTATTCAAGCCCAAAAGTCCATTAAACAATACAAATTTTGGAGCAGAGCAAAATCCGACTTCTAACACATCAGAGGTGGGATCAGGTGCCATGGAGGAGTAAACATCCCCTTCCAAACGGTTACACCCGCCCTGTGCTCCTTGTCATGATCGGGAAATAACGGATACATCCGTCGACAGTCTAATAATACTGTAGTTGAATTATGTCAGAACCATTTCTTTTTCAATTTCCGCACATATTACCTTATTTATATTTAAAATCAAAATGTTTGATCTTTTTAACTGATAATTTCATTCTTGCATCTTGATCAATGAATTCTTTGTAGCAGAAACATTTATTGTGTATTGTAAAAATAAACTTTATTTTTATATACAAAAAAGTATTATCGCGAATTATTAATAAGAATTAATTGATATTGAAACTTTGTTTTCCTTCTTTTTTTGCATGCAATAACCCTTAGGTGTAAAAATCTTAGGAACATAAATTCTGCTTCAACAACTAATAAGCATTTTTATTGAAATTTTCAAAAGAAAATTCGCAATTTTTTCTCTATCATATACCATATACTTTAGAATTCATTGTTTTCTAATTTATCATCAAATCCTTTTTGTCCTGTTTACCTTTCGTTCATTTTTTTTATTTATTTCTTTATTTATTTATTTTTATTTGATAAATACAGACTCTGAATTGTCATTTGTTTACAGATGGACATTAGGTTATGGTAGCGGACCTTACAGAAACCTGCTTGGAAGCTACTATCAAGTTGGATACAATCAAGGCTATGGATATCCAGGTAGAAACCTTTTAGGTGGATATGGATACTATCCAGGCCTTTTCGGCGGTTACGGCAACAACTACTACCCAGGAAACAACTATTATGGATATTCACCTTATAACAACTTTAACTCATTCTACGGATACAGCAATGGATACTATCCAGGTGGAGTTAATTTCCCAGGATATTATCCAGGACAAAATTTACCTAATGTTCTGTATCCCGGAAATACCCTTACCACCTACCCATCTGTGAAAAGAGTTTACTAAATGTTTTCTGCACCCAACAAACGAAGGTACTTTTTGTGTTTTCTGCCTATTGTATACTTAATGTCATCTGATATCATTAATTTTATCTTTCTTTTATAATAAATTCTATGATGCTGATAAGATTTTTTAATCAAAAACTGTTTTCCTTTCAGATTCATCCATAACGACTGATTCTCAATAAACATATTTTTGTTATTGCTTATCTAAATAAATATTTCAAGCAGTATTTTATATCTCTGCTGCTTTTTTCAATTGCAAATACGGGCTAAAAATATTGGGAGTGAAAAAGCCTCACTGGTTTGTTATACCTGGTACAATCAATAATCAATTCTGTTTTATGCTTAGTTTTATTTAAAGTGTATTGAGAATTGTTGTAGACATCATTTCTGCGCTAGCCAGTTCTTCCCTTTGCAGTCTAGAAAATGAATTGTACAATGCAAATTGTTTGCACCTTGACAAAAAGTATTAACATGCAAATGCTTCAAAAACTTCTAAGTTTAAACGTTTTTGAATTTTTGGGGAGTTGAGAATGAAAATTGGTGTAGTGCTTCACTCTACTATGCGTTTGTTAGGGTATGTCAAAGAAACCTGGATTGAAAGTGTTAAGATAACAAACAATATTGCAAAATCCATTCAAATAATATAAAAGGAAGATAGGGAAAACAGAGTCCGTGCAAACAACAGAGTGGGATAAGGTTTCATGCAGGAGTTAACATCCCCTGTACATCCGCTTTGAGTCCTCAGTATTTATCGGGTAAACCGGGCAATCCATACTCATATTTAAATGAAAAAATGACTTTACAATCTGTATAGAAACGTCAGTGCACATTAGACCGAACAAAAGTTAAGTTGCAAGAAAGGTCGACGTAAGGACGATAAAAAAGTGAACTTCAAATGAAATTGAAAGGCAGAAATATGGTCTGTTTTGGTTGTCCATTTTCGAAGAATCTCGTAAAGTTGAAGACACTTCTTTCAAGTAGAGTAACCACATTTGATATACACTTTTGAGTTGTCGTCTGACGCCATGAGTGTCAAGCAGATTAAGAATCAATTTTTTTTCCTTGTTGCAAAAATAATGATTGACAGCTAGCCAGATAATTTTCTTTCAAGCCGATTTGCATCGGAATTTGTTAACTGTGTTTTAAAAACAACAGTAAGCAGAAGAAACAATAATATTACTGATGTCAATTATGGATGTGTTTACTTCCATTACAATTTTTGCATACAAATGTTTATACGAACATGTCCTCGTAACCTTTTTTCTGCGTTTCTATACTACTGGATCAGTCAATTTGTCTTCTACGAAAGGAATGATAAAATCATTTCGTGCGAAATGTCAAGAGTAAATATTTTCACCTTTTCCTTGGAATGCTCTACTGATTTGTTCTGATAACTTCAATTAAATTGAATAAAGTTTGTTCTTTTAACTTATTCACATGCTTTAGCATTTTTATTTATGTAATTCAAAAAATAATCACAACAACACCGTATATAGGCACCGATAAATTTGCGATGAATTTGCTTGTTTTTTTTGTTTTGTTTTTGTTTTTTGTTTTTTTTTTTCTTCTTAGTTTATTTCTCAGTTAATACCATAAGTGTACATTTACTTGTCCAATATTTTTAATTCTCATAAACAAAGCACATTCATCACGACGATAGAAGAATTCTTATGAAGATTTAAAATACATGTAATCACAATGGAACAGAGAAAAAATTCTTAAGATGAAGAACTGGCAAAACCATGATAATTCTGATAATGACAGTTATCCAGTAGTGATGCATGTACATGTATAAACACATTTGCATGTCTATCATAACAAATACAAATCTCTTGGAATAAATTTCCATATATTGGACCATTTCTCAACAGATAAATGATTATTTTTTTTTATTTCATGACAATGAATGGAAAGATATAGTTTCACTCTGTGTATGAAAAGGCCCTGTGCTCATACCAATCATTGGCCTGAATTTAAAGAAAACAGGTATATTTTAGTATTTTAGGTAAAAAAAATAAATGAAATATTGGCAACCCCCCCCCCCCCCGATCCAAAAATCCTAAAACACAGTTGGAGATTGTATAACCTCAAAGAATACAATAAGTAAGCGCTGGTTACGTAAAAATACACCTTTGTTGAGATATGTTCTCTTTAACAAATTTGTTGGAGTAATAGCTTGTAGTTAAACTTCCTCAAAAGGTCTTTGTTTATTCGAAATAAGAAATAAGTCTTTACAAAATGAAAAAGTCTACAACCGGAGAAAAACAGATTAAAACATTTTTCAATTACTTTTGAACATTTCATAATACGCTTCTTCTTCAGCCTGTCATTAATTTGATCAAACATATTATTTTTTTGTTTTTTTTATTTTTAAATAAACCAAGACGCATCTACTTTCCTTCAAAAAATGCTTAAAGAGAATTTAAGCGGAACACGAGAATCCATAGCACATAAATAGACTTACCAAATATAAGAAATTAGAATATACGAGATGGTACAACAATTATCAATGCCAACAAGGAATCGGCATAGAAAGGCATTTAATTGACATAGCTAGCATATGATCCACAAAAACGGTTGCGAGTTAATGCAAATTAATGAAAAGGCGATCAGAATTATGAGGTAATACAGCTAGTGATAAATTGCATATCTGAACACATATTCGAATTATCAAATCCGAAATCCGGTTCATGTTGTTTATGATAAAGTATTTTTGAGCAAAAACAAGTAGTTATGTTTATAATGTGGAAGGCAACATATTATATAATTGTCATTTAGATGGAAGACATGATTATAATATCCAGGTGAATTTGGCACAGAACTACACAGGTGAATAAATGATAAAACGTCAAAGTAATCCCGCTTGATGTATAGTCAATAAAGCATACAAATATGAAACAGATGTGACAGACTCTATCGTGTCTTTATTTCCATCCACTGGGCAATATCTAGTCGATGTATGAATAAAAATGAAAATTGTTTATTAAAGAGTCATAGATTTATTTCAGGCCGTTTGTTGTAAATATCGTTACATGTTACTCTCATTAATCTTTGCAGCATAGGCAACGTAACTTATTGGTAATACCTCTGCCAGCCATGGAAACATATGCTTGCAAACATGATCTGTTTTTCTTTTCCTGTAAAAATATGTAATGTCCTGATAAATAAAATTAACAGAATTCAAAATTAAAATCTTGCATTTCTAAAAATGTCTCGAAATTTTTTTTTTTGACCTAATACATACTTCTCACCTCAAACCAATAAAAATTCTGATACATTATGAGAGTTAAGGCAAACTATTTTGTTGCAGGTGGGAAATATTAACGGTGGTCCATATCGTTATGTGTATCGTTTTCAAATTAAATTGTTTATCCTTTAGCCCCAGGTACACCTTTATAATTTCATGCAAGTTACATCAATCTGTTCCCAAATATTGACGACTTTCATGCAAAGTGTAAGGTCATTTTTCTCATATTGTGTAGTTTAAGGATTTCGCCGTTTGCCTGAATACAAAGAACTCACTGTGGTCTGATCAGTCGACAGAACATTTTTTAATCCTCAATGACACATGACCCATTTTCTGACGATGGGAAAAACTCAAGTCATCCCGTTTGTCATACAGATTAGTTATTAGCTGGCCATTGTTGACTATGGTCAGTAAACTATCCAAATATAAATAGTGAATATATAAAGCGTGTTTTAGTGAAAAACTGTTGTATAATACTCGCTTTTTATAAATTTTGATAATTGTGCGGAGAAGGAAACATCATGTCGATATTTCCGTTAGGAAAACAAATATAGTCTTCTTTATTAATGTGCTGAAAAAGAATGAGAATTTTTTTTTAATACTTTTCAATCTTGAATATTTTTTTCGTATTTTTAAAAAAAAAAATGTAAAAATTGTGTAATATGAATGAAAAATTTTATCAGAAAGTAAAACTCATTCAAACACAATTAATCTACATGTAACAATCCTTGTTTGGATATGAGGCGGTTAGGATGTATTGAATTTGAGTCTCTAAAGACTTCCTTACAATCTTTTTTTTACGTTACAGAAAGGCATCGTAGTCCATATCAAAAGACAAAAAAGTTTTTAAAAACAAGATTCATTGCTAACTACAATATCGTGAATTTAGTTGTTGTTGTTGCATACTTTGAAAATTTTATAAATTTGACTCTCTTGATGGGTCGTTTAGCACCCTAAACTATTTTCCCCTCTTAATTTTAATCAGAATTCTATAGATCTTTTTACTTGTGTAAAGGGGAAAACTAATTACTAGTATACTAATCTATCTTTCTTTCTTTGCTTGGCCTCTACATAACAAACTTTACATAAAAAATATTTTTTAATGTGTTTTTCTTCAAATTGTCCATTATACCATTAATTTTTACTTGATAAATAACCAAAAAAGCCTTATACCAAAAAGAAAAATAGTACATCCACGGTGGGATTCGAACCCACGACCTCTGGATTAGAAGTCCAGCGCGCTATCCGCTGCGCTACGCGGACTTCAATTTCGTCAAGGTTTAAATTATTGATTGAAATTACATACTTAATGTAAATGTGCATAGAATCAGACTTAACTGTTTTGATGCATTTTGATGATAAATTAAGTGATATGTCTTATCCGTTTGAAGTGTCTTAATTATGCTGGAAGAATTTTATTGTTTTACTTATATCTGTCGGGGTTTTTTTTTAGCTTATTTTTCAGCAAAGTATTGTACAATATTTCACAGAAGATTATGTATTTGATATAACTTAATCTTTTCCAACCATGCGGCTCTAGACACCACAAATAGAGTGGATGAAAATGCCTACAAAAATATCACAGAATTCAGAACGTAATGCTTATATTTCATGCTATTTTACTCAGTTCATCATTATTATTAGTCGGTTTCCTTTCAAAATGCCATGTTTTGAAGAAATGTGATTTTTTTTTTTAAATTCAATACTGTATGCATTCTCTAGTTGAATATTGGTCAGTAAAGGAGGAATTGTTGTCTGGTTTTCCTAAATGAAATATTCAGATTAATTTGCTTAATTGTCTATTATATTTTGATGTTAGGACTTTAGTAGATCACGTTTTTCCTTCCATCTAATAATTGTACAACTTTACGTAAATGGAAAGGGTAATCTTAGTTTGACATCTAGCAGGGACTATATATTTGGCGGAGAGTGGTGTACGAATATGTCTTTCTGCTTTTTCAATTTACCACAGAATAATGCATTTAGAAAGCATGTTTCAACAATGAAAGGCAGAAGAAAATTTTCTGAAGAACTGAATAATTTATGGAGTAAAATTTTTAAATAACCAGGTAAAAATGACCTTCCAAACAAATTCAGATCTTGTTAGATTTTGAAAGCTTCCAACATAAGAACTAAATTGAACATTAAATCGAAAGGGTCATTTTTTGGTATCATTTTGTATCTTCTTATGACTACCTCTAGATATGTTATTCTTTACAACTAACTGAACTGTGACGCAACATACACTTAATGTTCACGTCAAAGAAATATGACATTACCTTTTCTTCGCAAGCACTTTATAGCACGGTACAAGTTTCTCTAAAGTTTAGCGTTAATAACTAAGACGTAATATTTTAATTGGATTATAACTTTTCTTATTTTATGAGATTCTAGCAAGAATAAAATAGAAGGGAACTGACATTAAATGGAAGATTAAATGTACTTTTGAAAGTGCGTGAAAAATGCGTGATTGCAGGGAAACGGTATATTCGTGATTTTGCGTTAGAAATAGGAAATGGTATATGCCTTAAAATGCTTCTTTAACCTTTGAAAATTTCATTAAATTTTAAATGCAATAATTCTGAGAAGAATCCCACCTTAATATGCTTTTGATTAAAAGGTGATAGGTATCAAGGCATATAGAAAATGTACATTTTTCATGCTCATAACGTGGTTTGTTAGTATATGTCATTGTTTAAAGCAAATAGATTTCTCGAAAAATACCTTTTTGGAAGGGGGTTTTCACAGTAAGCACAAAAAAGCCATTTACAAGACTGTTTCAGACATCAAACTGCCTAGAATTTCATAAAGAAGCTTGAGATGATTATTGAGAAGGTTTCAGTTAAGGACAGACGATACGTTCCTCAGTAAAATATATTTTTTATAATATTTTGTCATTGAAGTATTGCTATTTTGATATGCTTATTCACAAAAAATGAGGTACCTTACCAGCCATTTGTGCAAAATACCGGAGGATGTTGTTTCCAAATAACATTTTGGAAAAAACTTAATTTGTCAACATCACATTTTTTAGTGTTTCAATTTTTTAAAGACAACAAGAAACCAGTTTAGAAATCAAAAAGTATTTAAAATTTTGAATATTTTTCATACAATACGAAGATAAGCAAAATAGATATTTGAGGAACGTATCATCTGACCTTAATATGCTTCATTTTGAGACATATTAGAATAAAATGAAACATGGAGAAAACGAAAAGTATTCAAGCTCAAAGTTCATTAAAACAATACAAATCGGGAGCAAAGCAAAAAACGTACCTCAAGAAGTACAGAGTTACTGTTTCTAGTTGAAAGATGAACATCCTTCGCTAGGCTGGAGGCAAGAAATAATTATGAGAGGTATTAAATTTTAACAGATTGGTCATCAGATGTATATGCACTTCAAAATTTCATACTCCCATTAACCAAATTCTTGGAATCAGAAATGAAAACCAAAATCATAAATTTAAAAATGCAAAACAATTTATTATTTTAGATATTACACAATTTCCCGTTGTCGTTGAGGTAAAGCCAGCCTTCTGAAATTAAAGGAAATTAGCTTTATTTTCATTTCAACTGAATTTTCAATTGAAAATTCATTCTACTTTGTGAAGTGCTTTTCCAAATTCTTAAGCAAATCTTTGTGGAATAATCTTAGTAATCACTTGCACTTTGCTTCTAATTGTTTTTATTATCATCTTTAAAGTTTGTCCTTAATGTGAATCCCGGACGCATGAAAAGATCTACATTTGTCTTATTAGTTAAAAAAAACTAAACTAATGTTTGCTTATCGTTATTTGAGTCAAATAAAATTTCAATGCTTCAATAAAAGTTTATCCTTCTAAAGCAAGAATATGTAACATGTAAACACTACATGTACTCGTACAAATGTAACTATAAATTCCATTTAAAAATCTATTGATAATTAACTACTTACATTTCTAGTCTATTGATAATTAACAACTTAAGCTTCCGGAAAACCTCTACTTTTTACCTAAGTATTTATCCTAGTACACCTTCTTTTTGGGGTATCCACCTAATCCACCATGTGATCCGCCAAGAAGTCCGTCATTAAGTCCACCCAATTGGTTGCCGAGAAGGCCTGACCCAAGGCCTGGCCCAAGACCTGACCCAAGTCCGCTTAATCCTGATCCTAGCCCATTTAATCCTGATCCTAGCCCGTTCAATCCCAATCCACTCAAGCCAGATCCTAGTCCGGGATAATAACCTCCTTGTCCAGGGTAGCTACCTCCTAGTCCTGAGTAACCACCTCCTAATCCTGGATAACCATATCCTAGTCCAGGATAACTTCCTCCTAATCCAGACAAGCCAGATCCTAGTCCAGGATAATAACCTCCTAATCCAGGGTAGCTACCTCTTAGTCCAGGATAACTACCTCCTAGTCCAGGATAATATCCTCCCGATCCAGATCCTAGTCCAGGGTAGCTACTTCCTAGTCCAAGGTAACTGCCTCCTAATCCTGGATAACCATATCCTGACCCTGGGTAGCTTCCTCCCAATCCAGACAATCCTGATCCTAGTCCAGGATAATAACCTCCTAGTCCAGTTAAACCGGAACTTAGACCAGGGTAGCCACTTCCAAGTCCACTCAAACCATATCCTAAACCATTGTATGGATCATTGAGTCCGTAGGGATAGCCATAAGAATTACCATATGGGTTGCCTAACAAATTATTGCCAAGTAAGCCTGTATTAGGATACAAGGTATTGAGACCCTGGTTTCCTAGACCAGTACCATATGGATTGTAATATGAAGGATCATTTAATCCATTATACAGGGGAGTCCCTTGTCCTAGGAGACCTCCTTGCAGGTTGTATCCTGGGTAGGTTGAATACGGATAACCGGAATGTGATTTGCCTTTGCTTCCGTATGTACCAGCCTGAACGGCGGCAATTGCAAGGACTAGGATCAGTGCTGCGAATTTCATGTTATGACCTAAAATTGAACAATAATAGTAATCATGTCAACAATCTTTCCTGATAAAATTGGTATCTTTATTTTTTTTCCTAATTTATTTAACTGGCGAGTTCTAGTATATTTTCTTTGCCAACTAGAAAGATCTTAATTCTAAATGGTAGAATACACCAAAGTATAGCACTGCGATTTTTCTTTTTATCAAATTAATTTATATGCATTTTTTCTAGAGAACATCTATCATTCCAACGCATTATCGTATCCAAACCGGCCTTATAAATAATATTTTTGATGGTTTAACAAGCACTTTTTAGATAAGCATCTCATAAAACTATCAGACGCCAGAGAATGAATATAATATCAACTAAGTCAAAGTAAATAAAAATTTATTTTTTATTGTTATAGTTTATTTAAAAACATTGTGTAGTTTATTTTTTGTTTCTGATAGGTGGATCCTAAATTTGAATAATTTGAAAATTTAGTAAAGATATCAAGCATCGACAATGAAGTAGATGCGAGGTGTTTTTTTTTTTTCTTTGACATTACTTTATCGATTTTAGATGATCGTTTACTTACTTTTTGTCTTTTGACTCCAGAGTGAAATTCATCGTTTCTAGCTCCCTTTATATATCTAGGCCTTCCCGACTAATGTCCAGTAAAATTTAAGGAAAAACCACGAAACATAATTAATTGATGGATTAGAAAATTATTGTTATCAATTACTTTTAGCAAACCACAGATGTAAAACTTTTGTCTGGAGACGTCATCGTTAAAAAACTTTCTGTAAACAAAAATCAAGTTTTTCTGTAACATTTTGCTTTCATTACTTCATTTGATTTTTAAATCTATGCTGATCGAGACGGGTATTCTAAAATCATATATTCTTAGATAATTGATCAATAATCTGGTTAAACGGTGACTTATTAAACAATAAACATGATATTTATACTATCATCAAAATATAGGATTACATTATTTGATGTAATTGTAATAAAAACTTTAATGATTAATTTATCTACTTAGTTAATTACTTTCTTACTTGCACATTACTTACTGACTAACATGCATGTACTTTCTAACTTACTTTACGTACATGCTAAATTAAAAACAATTTTGAAAACAAATAATTACATGATATTTTTTACCCATTTGAGTAAAACTTCCTGAATTTGGACATATGTTCATTGTTAACATCAAAAATTTCTAAAATCTGTTATGAATTATATAACAAAAAAATGTATGAATCTTATATACATACACTTATTTACGTATCATTGCCTTTGCATTTATTGATTTTTTTTTTTTTTTTTTTTTTTTTTTTTTTTTTTTTTTTTGTTAGAATTAAAAGGTGGTGCAACAGCATTGAAGTTTATTCATAATTGAATTATCCATCTAGTGGTTCAGATTTGAGCAGATTGTAAGAATATACCAAGAGGTCTAGAACTTCATTAAATTTTTATTATAAATATGCTATATAATATACTAGTATCCTGTTTAGGAAAAAAAAAATATATAATATTTTTTCTTTGTGTCAGATTATATTTTAACAAATAAATGTTTCAAATTTCACTCATTGTCTTTCTTTTTAATATATTTTTAAATTAAAATTAACATTGCAAGGATTTTTATCATGTCAATCATTTCAATGTCATAATATTCCTATGTCTAACAGAAAATTCTAAATATTTCTGAATTAAATAGGAATATAATTTTAAACCTCATATCTTTATCAAAACATTTTTTATATAGTTTTATCAAATACCAATTACACACTTCTAAACCAAATTTCTATTTTTTATATGTAATGCAATGTATCACGATTTTGAAAAATTTATACAAAAAGTTCATTTTTCTGTGTGATCTTTTAAATTGGATTTAATTAAAAAAAACGAATCTTTGCAAGAAAAATATTGAAATTAAATAATGTTCACCATACATATTTTTATTCCTAGAATTGAAACAATCAGTAATCATTCAAAACGATTGTGTATTAAATCAAATATCTACAGACACCGATCAAACATTTAACATTAAAAGCATTTGCAGAGCATGTCTGGTATTTTATGTATATCTAAAACAACTGTAAAGTTTAATTTCACCTGGAGCACGACAAAAAACCATCACTCATTCTGTCTAAATTTCTTTTCAAAGAGGCTTATGTGTAAATAAATCAACGTTTGGCTAGACCCTGGGCGACCTGTCTAATAAAAACGTAATTAGGGTCATTAATGAGCGTTGTTAATTAAAGAATTCCTTATTAGAATCTCTCATACTAAGTTACATGCAGTTGATTTATGCATTCAATTGACTGTCGTATTCGTCATTCAGAAATGATTTATATTCCTTTTTTAGTATTTTAAGGAAAACTATGCCCTAAATTATATCTTTTCTTCTTTGAAAACATTAAATACATTGCTTAATTATGTCCTAGGGGTTGCGTGGTTAAAAATTAAATTTTAAAGAAAAAAGAGGGGACGAAAGAAAAAAAGCATAATATTTCATTTTTTATTTAAAACGTTCTGAAATTTCACATTTATATGTATTTTATTATAGAAATATTGTTGCTCATAAAATTCCAAAGAGTTCAAGATCTTGGAAATCAAATTTTCTTTGTAAAGTTGCAAAATGGGTATAATTATTAATAAACCACAATGCTCACTATGCTTAACTATGCGGTAGTGGTACATTTGTCATGTTCACGCTTTTGTATCGTTTGCAAGAATTAAGGATTTATTAAATAGATCACTGTTAATTATTTTCACTTTTGTCATTGATTACTATAAAACTTAATAAGGGCACCACAAAGCGGAGCATCCCCTCGCAAAAGAGCATATCAATTCTTATATGAATTATTACTTTTGTTACGCTACCCCCCCTTCCCCCCCCCCCACACACACACACACATACACGTTTCTATATCCTCTCTAACTTCGTTGCAAGGGGATAATTTCATTTTATCTTATTTTATTTTTGCAAGGGAAACACAATTTTACTTTTTGTATTTTCCTCGAAGAATACTTTTATAATTCTGAGTAAATAAAAAGTTGGCACTATTGTTTTGAATATAGAGAATCCTGAGTTCTGATACTAGAATGTTCCATATCATGAGGTATGTGGTAGGCTGCTACAGTTTGGTTTATTAATCAGTCTAAATTTATTTGAGCAGTGATCATTATGATTCATTTCTGAGTTATATCTGAATGCATGTGCCATATTTTGAAGCTATTATTGTTTAACTACAACTTTTGCCTTGCTGCAGTGAAAAAAACGTTAATGTTGATTTTTGTAATTTTGGTACAGATTTTAGACAAAAAATTATTTCTTGACTAGTGTGTTTTTCTGTGCTTCAATTTATACAATATGGCATATAATACATACGAATGAATCGGAACTGAAACAACTCGTAACTGGAGTCTTCACTAAACTTACGTTGGCAAGCTACGTGTATGTAGTTAAATATATAGTGATTGGATTAGCGCTGTTAAGAAGTAAATGTTTACATGCTTTAAAAATACCGAAAATAATCGTGGATATGTAAACCTGTAATTGGCGACTCTTCTGTATGTAGATAATTCGGGGTACTTGGCTAAATATTATGTTAACAAGAATTTCAAACCCGATTGCAAACAACTCAATTATAATGTACACTAGGAGAAGCAAAATGCAGTATGTTATATTTATGATTCCCTCGTTCAGTTGTATTTATGTGATTGGAATATGAGAAGATCGGACAATGGATGAATATATTAAAAATATACATATATCAAGGCAACATTCGAATCCGTAGCAAATTACGTCACTTCCGTTTCGCACAGGACAAACTAACCCATCCACAAACACACAGTCACATACAATTCAATAACTATATCCCCTCTAACTCTGTTGCGAGGAGATAATAAGGGGTCTTTGATATTTCTATTCCGAGTCATAACAGAATCCGGAATACATTGTTATCTGATCATGGCCAATAAGTTATAAATAGAGATTGCATTCTGAAACCAAAAAAAACCGCTTCATTTAAATTTCTTCATTTATTCAATGTTTTACACAAAGAATTTTAATACTTTATATATAAAATGTTAAACAATATTTAGGAAATGATTATATATAAATTCTCAGTTTTGTGAGAATTAAATTGAAAATGACGTACGCACGATATAAGCACGATTAGTATAAAAACGAAATTCAATGAAAATGTTTATTTCTTAAACGTATTTATTATTGTGACTGAAATGCAAAGGAGGTTTAAAAGAGCATGCAAAACTCTGCATTATGAAGGAATCATAATTTGAAAGCTTCTTTATTCAGTATTGAATAATAACAGTTGAATTCTATGTTTCGATTTTTTTTAAAAAATGCACTGAAATAATTCCTCATAGCTTTCTTTTCATTTGTTCCTGCAAGTAAAACAAAAGAACAAAGTTCAATTGTTTTGAAAGAAAAAGGCATGAAAAAATATATCAGGTAATATTTTAGAATCGTATTATAAGAAGAATAATTTCAAATAATATCCCTGAGGTAATTCAATTCTCATTCACTCTTGTTAAGAAAAGTCAAATGTAGCACAATTTCTTTCTAAAGTTCTAGAACATATTGATAAATGGTTGACGAAATAGCTGATTGCTTTTACTCCAAAAAATTTTTAATGTAAATTTTAGTAGGAAAAAAAATTCTATATCTCACTGTTTTGGAGAATATGGCCCAGACATTATTCTGAAAATATATCATACTCATTGAGGTCTTTTTTAACAAACTAGCAACAGTTACCAAAGAGGATACATTTTAGGCAAAGTAAATTAACATCCCCAAAGTTAAAATTTTTCTATATTAAACTGAAAGTAATAGATGAATAACAATCTTCGTTGATATAATATGAAACTTGGTATAAACTACATATTTATGCAAGATTTTTTTTTATCAAAAATAAAGTCAGAAAGATTGCAATATCTCGTGATAAGATTTAGCAACATTAGCATTGTAGCAACCGCTAATGATTAAACGCCGCCTATAGCTAA